AAATAAAATCCTTAAAAGTAGATTGAGACATGACATGGTCATGATTAATGAAGAGAGAGAAAAAAGAAGTGAAGAGAGAGAAAGAGTTAGCAACTTTTATTCCGTCAATATATTTTATTAATATGTCTTATGTGGCAAATTTTTGTTGAGAAAATGTGTTGTTAAGTTGTGATCGGTTACGAGTATCATATATGGTGCTAGCACGATATTCCATCTCTCAGCCCCGATTCAGACCACTAAATCATGACCACTAGGAACAGCTCTAATTATGTGGCATCAAACAAGGAAAGAAAAATCAGGCCTTCACATTACAGTGCGTGTGTTTCACGCATTGTGGAAAAAAAAAAATTCTTGCTCAAAAATTTGATAACAGAGGGAGAAGAAATCGTGTCTATTCTGAAGTTCTATTCCAGGGAGAAAAAATCATGTCTACGTCCCCGTTTTCGTCTCACTCAAGCGTCTTCCCTCTCTCGTCTGAATCGGAGCTGTTCCAGGGAGAAAAAATCTTATTTCCGTCCCCGTCTTCGTCTGTTCAAGCGTCTTCTCTCTCTCACTCAAGCGTCCTCCGCCGTCCGTCTCCTCCACCGTCCGACATATTCAAGTTAGTGCACCGTCTCCGGCGTCTCCCTCTCCGATTGGCGTCCCTCGTCCAGGTGAGTTTATCTCTGGCTTTTGTCCATCTCTCCCTCTATACTTACACATATACATACATACATATATATATATATATATATATATAATAGGATTTTGAGAATGCCAAATATATAATGAAATATACATTATAGCTCTGAAGCTCTGTTAATTGTTATAATCTGTTAATGGAGATTTGAAATTGTTAGAAATTGTTAATCTGTAATGAAATATACTTTAATTGTTATAAATTGTTATAATCTGTTAATCTGTTAATTGTTACAATTTGAAGCTCTTACATATTAGAAATTGTTACAATTTGAAGCTCTGTTAATTTTTGAAAGGGTAATATGTTATAGTCTGTTAAAAGGCTAATATGTTATAATTTGTTCAAGAGCTTGCATTGCTAGAAACAGATTATTTATTTGTTAGGAAAATAAAAATAAAGAAATTAACACATTAATAACAGAAATGGAGATTGGTTCATCTGTTAATTTGTTAATGGAGATTTGAATAATTTGTTCATCTGTTAATCTGTATGTATATGTGTAAGTATAACAGATTAATACACAGAATAGCTTGGTTCTATTATTCTATTAATCTATTACATCATTTGATTTCATATGATATTTTTGAATGAGCAGAAATGGAGATTGGTTCGAATAGTGGTGAGAATCCTTTATTAAATGAGAGTGAAGAAATTGAGGAACCGAAGAGGGGTATGGTTGGCATGGAAAATAGTATGTGTGTGCAGGTACGTGTACATCATAGGAATTTACATTGAGCAATTTATGTTATTTTCCAATAATGTTTAGTAAACTGTTTTTAACATTTCATTTTAATTGAATAGGGACACATGGTCAATACTATTGGAGGCACATCTCTCACCCCGGCAAGTGTGGACATTATGAGAAGACAAAGTTTCATAAATGCCCCAACTCAGATTTATGGAGTCTTCAAAATCTGTCCAAATCTGTCAATAATCTATGTTCAACCAAACAAACAGATAAACAAAATCTGTGTTCCAAATCAGTCCAAAATCTGTGCAAATATGTGAATAAATTATGTTCATAATATGTGTTCAAACAGACAAACAGATAACTTTCAAAGTTCCAATAAGATAACAAACAATCCACGTGATTATATATTCATACTTCTCAATCCATAACTGTAATATATCATAAATCTTCATACATATCATCTTCATAATTAATACTACACCAATTACATCTTCTAACTTGCATAAAAATTATTACATCTTCATAATTAATATAACACCAATTACAAGGAAGATGAAGATCCCATTAATGCAACCCGAATTTCTATTTATGTCTCTTTGCAATTTTTACATCTACGCGTTCTGAAATTAAAGTTGTTCGCTTTGAAATCGAAGATGATCGACATTGAGGACAATTTCTGTTGCAATATGTCAATTGATCTGATGTACTTCCGTTAACACTTGAAGTTGACATCTGCAAAAATATGAAGCCAAATCTCAATCAGTTAGTGTACTAGTCTTAGGACTGTTTAACTTGCTAGAAACAATGGTGGTTCCTTGAAGGCTAGGGGTGGCCACTGATAGCTCTAATTGATAGCTCATTCAGGTTGTATTAGTCTTAGGACTGTTTAGTTGAAGACAAAATTGTAGCTCTACTTGCTGGAAACAGTTGTATTAGTCTTAGGACTGTTTAGTTGTGGGAGTTCTCATTCAGGTTTTGGGTGTACTGATAGCTCTAGTGATTACTTAATCAAGTAAATCAGTGTCAAATGGAAGCAAACAAGATTGAAATCATTCAACAACAAATGGTTTCTGTCTTCAAAAGAAAAACAACTCAGTTCAAATACCAGAATATTGAACATCTGATATAACACCATCATGATAACTAGTCAACCTACCACTTAAAGATGCATGCAAACAAGGAAAAGTTGATCAGCACATTTTGTGAGCACATCCATTTCTCTTTCTATTATGGATATTCCAAGGTCATAATATAGAATACTACTATCAGTATACAACAGTGCTCCCGTTGAGTACTCCGTAATATGGTGGAAATTAATCTCATTTACTAGGTTTCTTTACAACAGTAGTGCATTTTAAAAGATATAACCTGTCCATGTTTGATAAAAAGAGAACATTTCTAGTTTCCTGCATTTGCCACTAGCTTATCGCATTCAACCAAATGAGATTTGTAAAAAGCCTACCCAATTGTACCATGTTCTAGGTGAATTTTTGTACAATGTTGTGAACCATCATCATACATATCCCCTAACATCATATTTGTGGGAACCTACACTACCATGGAAACAGGAAAAGGAAGATTTCCAATTGTCAAGTCCAGAGAAAACTTTTGCTGTTACTTTAGTTCAAGTTTGCTTTACAAAGTAAGCTTAGATACGAGAAAAGATTACTTGTGCTAAACGCAAGAACTTTGAGGGAAACTTCATCAATAACACAGGCATGTGGTTAATAACATGGGTAGGGTTTAAGTAAAAGATTTTTATTATTAATTTATTTTTAAACTATGTTACTTTAATAAAGTGCTTGTTAGTTTTTTAAAGGCAAATTGCACACACTACCATTGTCCATATGACAAACTCAAATGACAAGTTAAACTTTGTTTTCTGTATAGCATTACTCTCAGTGTAGGTGGCTTCACAATGCATTTTAGAGGCATTATACTATGTTCTATTCTATCTAATACATATCTATATTCCTTTGCCATAAATATGATGCCAGAGAGACTTATTTAATTATTTATATTCCATTATTACTCAAGTTGTAAAGTAAGAAGAGTTGTACATAGTTAACCAAACCAAAAGCATAGAATTTACAGAACAATATCAAAGAATATTAACAAAACTGAAATGATAAGAGCCTTGACAAGAATCAACCAAAGAATCAAGTACCCCAAAACCTCCAAATATAACTCATTTGAGAATATATAAGAATTGAAACCTCAAATAAAATCAATGCTATAAAAATTAAAAAACTACTTGACAAAACTAGAGTCCTATAAGTATGTATGTGTGTATCAATACATATAAACAAAGATAAGGTGAAGAAGAAGAAGAAGAAGAAGAAGAAGAAGAAGAAGAAGAAGAAGAAGAAGAAGAAGAAGAAGAAGAAGAAGGTAACCTCTGTCCTGATAGTGCGCCGATTGAGAAAGGGTAGAACACTTGGGGCAAATCAAAATCAAAATCAAAATCGTCATAAACAGATGAGCTCAAAGTCGAAGTCACAAATCAGGGCATATAGATATAGATATATACATAGATATAAATCAGGGCATGAAATCAAAGTCAAAAATCTCAACAAATTAGGGCATATAGATATATAGATATACATACATATATATATATATATACTAGTGTATACCCGTGCCTAAAGGCACGGTGCAAATAATGATGAGATCAAAATGTAATTAAATATAAAATTATTGAGTTAAAAGGTAATTTATCCCATTTGTTACTAAAAATTTGAAGTCAAAATATGAATGAAGGTCTGGTTAGTTTTGAAAAGATTTTTTATTAAAAAAGTTTGAAAATATTTTTGATTGTATATTTTGAAAATAAATATTTCCCAATCAACTATTTAGAGTGCGGCAAGTAACGCAATCATAAACATTTCATTTTTATTAAAAAAAAATTATGACTCTAAAGTATAAACTTCATATCAATGCAAACATTAAAAATAAAAGCACCCTTGCTATGCAAGTTAATAAAAAATTGTAAAGACAAAACAAAACATACAAACCAAGGTATTGTACATTTGTTAACACTCCATAATTCAAAAAAAATTACACCAAACAATGCACCCCAGCCAATATTAAAAAAAAAAATAATCCAAGTACCTACTAATCTGTGTATTTTTTCCCAATGCAAGAGTCTAGGCTACTCCTACACTCTTCTAACTCATTAAGAGTATTGTTCAATGGAAACCCAAAAAAGGAATGTGAGACATGTATTTCATAGAAAAGAAAAGTTACATGACTGACCAAATATTTAAAAAAAATGTTATAATTTTACCTTATTTATTTTTATGCCTACACATCATAACAATGGATAAGAATTTTTTAAGATTGTAAACCGACAAATAATTAAATTCAAATTTATAAAATGAGTATAAAAAAAAATCAAAAAGACGGGAAAAAAAAACGAAAGACTTATTTTTAATAAACCTTTTAGAAGATTTTTTTTCAATTTTTTGTTTTGTTTGTTTTTATTTTTATTTTTTAGATCTAATAGATTGACTTGAAAAGTAAATTTTTTCTACGCATTTTTTTTATTTTAAAAATAATAAAAGGAAAAACTCTATTTTTTTTTTTGCTAGTCCCAAACTCACCAAGAATGGATCTACATTTTGCCTCACACCTTTTGGATAACTACATTTAGAGAGTTCTAAAAGCTAGGCAAACTAATTTCATGAGTAGCAATTGTTGTTGGAGTACACATATTAGGTAAAGTTGTGAGATAAAATTTAAAAGTAAAATTATTTTATATATACTTTTGTTAAGTGAAATGCAGTGTTAGAGTTACTCTAAAAAGTAAAAAACTTTGTTGATTTACAAACCAAATCAGAACTAAACCACATCACATTCAAGCAATTTCTTCCAAAAAGAGAAACAGAGATGTAATGTGAGATGTATATAAAGCAAGTAAAAGGAAGTGAGGCAGTGCTTACCATCAAGATGTGGTTGAAGAGGAGGAAGAGCTGCGGAAGCATAGATGCTGTAGAGAGAGAAGATAAACAAAACAGAGCATAGAGAGAGAAACAGAGCCATTTGCTGATGCTGTAGTGTAGCTGTGTATTGAAATGAGGAAAGAGAAGAGAGTGAGCTATATCTATATATTAGTGGATGCCCATGCCTAATGTTAAGATCAAAACATAATTGTAATTTATACGTATCATGTTAAAATTTGTAAAATTTATGTCATTTTTTGATAAAGATACTAAAAAAAATATATATTGAAATTTTGTATAGTTTGTGTCATTTTTTCCACTTTCTAATTCTAGTGGTAATAGAAGGCTCCTCAAAAGGGCATAAAAATTCTATCAGTTAATTCTTTCACTTGTTAACTAAGACAATTTCTTGCCACGCAAGACAAATTCAAAAACCTTTTTTCCATATTAAGTGTCTATTTAAAAAACTTTGGTCTGAATTGGGCCTAGGCTTTTGTAAGCTATTTAAGTGCCTATTTTTGAATAGCTGAAACAAACATTGAGGGTTTATAGTGAAACCACATTCTTCTTCACTTATGAGGTACCGTTATGCATAATCATCCAATTAAAAGTATAAAGCAGGTTTAAACTGCTTCAAGCATAAAGTAAGTTTATGCCATCACTCATTACTCTAAGATGACTAACTAATAACATAGATGGTCTACTGAATTAATGTAGTTCCAAAACCAAATATTTGAAGAAAAATCAAAACGGCCAATTGGCTTAAAACTAACTTTTGTTACTCTAGACCTCTTTACTGTTTTTTTTTTTTACAAATTCTTTCTGGACCTCATTGAGCCAATCTCAGCATTGTTTAACTGGCAAAGCTGAAAGCATAATTTGTTTTATTTTTTATCAGAACTTACAATCCTCACTCTGAAAGTAAAATAAAAAATGAAAGGAAAAAAAAAGAAGGAAATAATAGGCTTAGCTCCTGTAAAAAATAACAGACGGTTTTCACCCAATGAAACAAAAATATGTTGAGTTAAGAGTCACAGGAGTAAAGGGAAGAAGAAAAAAAAATTGACTCTAACCCATCCAATCAAAAATTTAATTTATTATAACCACATTTTTTTGTCACATCTATTTTAAAATGAATATACAATTGTGCCTACAGTGTCTAAGTTTTAAAATTAAAATTTTAATTGATTATAAGCACTGGTAGAGTTATAAGGTGTGGAAAAAGTAGTAGGCAAAGTTATTCTATTGAATCAACCTGATCTAAATTTCTTTTCCACCCCCAAAATCACCTATATCAAGAAGAAAAATTACAATAAAAAGAAACTCCATAAATACACTTCTAGTTCCCCAAACAAAGATATAAAATTGTGAAAAAAAAAGGCTCACTTGTTTAATGGGCCGTTGTGCCATTGCTCTCCATTTCTTGAAACATTCACTAATAGACCCACACAACACTTCCATTCATTATCTAACTTGAAATTTTCATGCCTAATCAAAACAAACTAAAACATCTTGTTTTTGAAAAACAATAAAATCAAACATAAAGGCATTCTAAACAACGCTAATTTTTAAAATTACAATAAAAATTATCACAATGATTATCATCAAAATAGTATGAAATTCAAAAATTAAAATAGAAGACCCAAATTATTAGCATAAAAAAATCAAGTATTCGCTTTTCTTGGTTCTTGTTTCTCTACCGTCTCTGAACAAAAAACATAAACTGCATCTAGCTAATAATCCAGAAGATAGCCAACATATAAAATGAAGCCTAGCTAGTAAAAATTTAAGATTCTTAATTTTCACAACATATAAAATGAAGCCAAGTTAAACAATAGAATAGCAACAAATTATTGACAAATCCATCAATGGAAGGCAGACCAATTACCTAATCAACCATTGTAGCAAACAAAGCCATAACAACTTTTTATGAGCTTGTCAAACACACCTTCAAGCCAAGGCATATGTACCTGAAGCAAAAGGAAGAATATATTTTTGAACAAATATAACCCATTTTGGTAAAATCAAAATCAAATGGGTTAATATATTTGAACAAATAAACCCAAATATATTATCTCAAATATATTATCTGGAATTAATATATACAATGGGTTTATCAAATATAGAATGGAATCAAAATGGGTTTATCAAAATGGGTTTGAACAAAATGGAATTAATTCCATTCTATATATAAACCCATTTTGATAATATATAGAATGATAAACCCATTTTGATTTGTTCAAATATATTATCTGGAATTTGGGTTTCACGAATCTGAACTGGGTTAATTTTGAACAAATATAACCCATTTTGGGTTTGAACAAATATAACCCAGTTTGATTTGTTATCGAACATTTTGATTTTGATTTTGGAATTTGATAGTAAATGGGTTAATTTGATTTTGGGTTTATTAACCCATTTTAGTGCCTACGAATTTGATATTAAAAATTTTGGAGAACCTCATGAGGAATGAACAAATATAGTCAAGATTTTGAAGAACCTCACCGATTTGCTATGTATGTTGCCGATCTGCTGGTATGTCGCCGATTTGCTGGTTTGTCGCTGATCTGCTAAACATTTGAACTAAACAGACACAAATTTAAAATCTCCATTGCCATGAAAAATTATTTCCATTTGCCCCAAAATATAATTACTTAAAAAATTACAATCCACCAAACATGTTTTCGTTTCTTTTAGACCGAAATTCAATTAACTAACTGACGCATAGATAATTATACATAAGCAAAAGCATATAAACAAAGTGAGCCGAGAGAGAGAGAGAGATTAGAACCTTGAATCATATCCTTTGATTCGTTAATATTATTCTACACAAATAATCACACAAAAAATCAAAATTCAAGAAAAATACAAAAAGAGATGAAGATAAAAAGTAGGTATTCGGGATTAAATATGAATATAAAGAAGAATAAGAACCTCGGCATCGAGGGGGTTTTTGGTGTAGGAGGCTTCGGCGGCCTTGCGAGCGTGTTCGAAGAAGAGGATGCGATCCATTGTTGTCGTCGACGAATACAAAGGTTAGATTTGTCTCTCCCACAGACGCTGCACCGCCAAGGCCTTTCTTTTGTTGAAGAGAATACCAAGAATAGGGCTTTCTGCGAAGGAGAGTGAAATAGCTATCTGCTATTTGAAGAGAGAGAGAGAGAAGAAGAAGAAACCCCATTGTAAACTCACCGTAGGATTGAATCACCATTGTAAATCCACCATTGAAATATAATTTGTTTGTTGGACAATTTTTAGCTGTTGGATTGTTATATAGATATATATATACCCTCTTCAATATTGTTATAAAATTCATCATTAAATCTCATTATTTGAAATCCTCATCAATCCAAACCAACTCTTAGTTCAATTAAAATTTCTTACTTTCTTCAAAAATTTCCTTTCTAATTGAATGAAAATGTTGTTTCTTTTATTCTTGTGTTCTTCAAAAACCAATATTTCCAAAAGTTAACAATCTTTTTTTTTTTTCTTCACAAAACCATGATTCATTCCAAACAAAGAGTGAAATTGAACTGTAGTGTATATATACCTCTTTCAAGAATTTAGCATAATTGCTAAGAAGCAGAGCACCTCCAGGGTATGCATCAATCATCTTCTGATAATACTCCTCCGTGATGTTATTCCTATGATTTGAATCCCAATACCCAGAACTCCCATCCCCATCACTACCGCCCGATCCTCCTCCTTCTCCTCCTCCTCCTCTTCCTCCTCTACTACCACCACCATCACCGGTCAAACTTCCACCTCCGCCGTATCCAACACCACCACCCACAACAACACCCCCCAATTTCCAATCCCTTACCCTAACAACATCACACTCCTCATCAACCACAATCTCATCCAATCCAGAGCCCAAAAACAACACTCGATCCAACGAATCCGATCTCGAATCAAAACCCACCTCTCTCTCCTCCTCATCTTCCTCCACCGCAATCGCCGGCAATAACGGCCTTCGTTTGGAGACCGAAAGCTCTCTAAGATCGGTCTCTGACATCGTTCTGGTCATCTTCTTTCTCGATTTGTCGATCGGAGAAACTGAGACCATCGAGACAGATCGAGGCTTCGGGATTTAAAGAGAAATGTCCGTCTCTGGCGATGTTGATGACTCTTTCGAATGTGGAAGCCATTCGTTTAGATTCTTCCTTTAGAATAAGCCAATTTTTCTAATAGACTCTTCCTTTAGATTCTTCCTTTTGTAGTGGCTCCTTTCGTTCGTTGTTAATATTGAAGGGGGTTGGGTCTACAGCAAGGGAATGGGTTCTGATGGAGAGAGAGAGAGAGAGAGAGAGAAGGAGGGTTGTGTGTTCAAAATTTGAAAATTGAAACAGAGAGAGATTTTGAGCAGAGAGGAGCTGAGGTGAGAGACATTTTGAACCATTAGATCTTGATTGTAATTTATCTCAGCCCTTGGATTGAGTAAGACATTTTCAGCCCTTGGATTGAAGCAATCTAAAGGTCCAAATTTTGACACATATATATTTTCAGTCTTTGAATTCAAACTAACCCTTCCGTTGTTATATAGATATAGAGTAAGGAAGAGAGAGAGAGAGAGAGAGAGAGAGCTGACCTCTACAGATAGATCTGTGAAGACGAAGAGAGACTCGGTCGTCGTCGGTCGTCATGTGTGACTCGATCATCGTCAGTCGTCATGAGAAACTGCACTCGTCAAGTCGTCGGGTTATAGAAGCCGCGCTCAACCTCGATCCTCACCAGGGTTGTAGAGCTACGCTCGTCGTCTCGCCGCTGATGGAGAGCTGCGTTCGTCGAGGAGCTTGTCGACAGAGAGGCACAACAGAGAAGAGAAAGAAGAAATGAGAGAGGGAGAGTCTTCAAGTTTTTTGTGAAAATGAATTTGAAATTTGAAATGAATAAGAAAGAGAGAGAAAGGGGCGAGTTTGCTTCAGTTTTCCACAATGGCAGCCACGTCATTAGTGCTAATTTAGTGATGAAGTTTTAGAGGTCGGAAGCATTTTTGTTCCACAATCTCTAACAAAAAAATTTCTTCTCTGACACACACACGCCCGCGCGCGGACACACACACACACACACACACACACACACACATATATATATATGTATATACATGTTATAAATATATGTAATTTAACAATCGAGAAGATGAATAGAAACCATATTGTGAATTTTGAGTATCTATACTATTATTTAGTGAAGACCTAAATTAGTTTAGTGAACCTAAGATTTTAAGTTTCATTAAAAACATACTTATCACTTAAACAACATATATATATTATGATGTTAAAATTTTTATTATTTAATTTTATTGTTAATTATTTAAATTACACACGTATCACGTATGTCATCCGCTAGTATAAATTAATTTTCTCATAGCAGTTTCTTCCTATTGATATTATCAAACTGTTGAAAAGGCATTTTCGAAAGGAAAAAAGAAACAAGACAAAAGTAGGGATCTGCAGTGTTTACTTTATATAATATATTAGAAGTGTTGGCTGTAGTGTGTACGAATGAAACAATTAGATTAGCAATTACAAGTTGAATTGTTCAAATAAATCGGCCTAATTCACTTGAAAATTGTTCAGATTTTTTTTATTTTATCTGATACATGTTTCCTCACAATGGTATACCGCTAATATTCGTCCCAGTAGGCTAAATTTTATCTATTTAGTATGTACTAATTAGTATATTAATTGGTACATCTCGTTTCAATCAACCAAGCATGTTTTGTACATTCCAAATCATTTTCAAAGATTTTTATATAAATTTTACACATTTTAATATATATTTTATATATTTATATCAAGATTAATGACAGTCATATAAAAAGAAACTAGGGTTTTCTTTAGTGCTTGTTTGGGATAATTTATAAAAGACAAAAAGTTAAAAAGTTACAAAAAAAGTTAAAAAGTTATCATTATTCACCAAAAAAATATCCCAAAAAAAAAAAAATACACAAGCCAAATTATGGAAAGAAGTGATGGTACAAATGTGTGAACATGAACATGCTTCAGAATATATATACAGGATGAGGCTTCCTTCCGGTCCTTCATTGGACTGGAGGGTACTGTTGAGACCCATCACGGGTCCCGTTTCGATAATCCGAACTGTTTAATGTGTACAACTCGTCGAATACTATATGCTTGTAAAAAATCAAGTTGATTGAATATTGATAGTTATGTGATCAAATCAAATTTTTTTCAGTTTTTTATACAAACCTGATTTGATCACATAGCTATCGCTATCCGATCAATGTGATTTTTTATAGGCATATAGTACTCAACAAGTTCTACATATTGCGGTTCGGATTATCAAAACTAGACCCGTGGTGAGCCCCCACAGGCCCAATAGTATCCTCCAATTCGATAAAGGACTGGAGGGAAGCCTCATTCTATATATATATATATATATATTTAATCTCAAGCATGTCTGCCTCCACCACACAATTCAAAGCAATCTGTACTGGTTCACTATCACTACGCATAGGGTATAGGGGTAATATGGTAATTTTGCTATTTTATATAATATTTTAATACACATTTTTTCGTAAAAAGTTATCCTAAACAATCATCTTCTTTTCCTCTACTTTTTTATCCAAAAAGTCAAAAAGTACACCTATATAGTTCATCTCAAACAATCCCTTACAAATATAGAATGCACTATGAGAAATTAAAATTTTAGAGACAAAATATTTTTGTCCCCAAAAATGATATTATTTTATTTTTAGCGAGAAAATTAGACATTTAGTGATGAATTACAAACCTTTTGGATGATTTTGGAACCAAAAGTTGTCTAAAAAAATAAACCTTTTATGGACCAAGTTATTTTGCGCCTAAAATTGTATTTATTAGAGACATTTCCAAAATTTTGTCCTTAAAAACTCATTTTTTGACTTTTTCGGGACGATCGTTTAGTAACTGAGATATATAGTCCATGGACTATTTGGTTGAAAATAATGTGTATCCTATGTTTATTTTATCATGAGATTAGATGTCTGAAAATGTTTATTCTATTGAATTTAATGTTTGATTGGAAAATTATGAAAAATGATAAATAAGACTATTTTACCCTTTTCAATCACTACAAGAAAATGCACTTTTGGTGACTAAATTTTTAGTCGCCAAAAGTAAGGTTTTTAGTCGCTGAAATACTTTCCCGACTATTTTGGTCGCTGGCTTTGTCGCGGGTAGATTGTCGGCAAAGGAATTGGCGACTAAAAAAAATTTTAGTCGCCAAAAGTCCTACGAAATGGCGACTAATGTTTTAGTAGGCAAAAATAAAAGGTATTCGCGACCAAATAGGTTTAGTCGCTGATAAGGTAAATTGGCGACTAATATATTCAGCTACTAATATATTAGTCACCCAAATGATACTATTTTAAGTTAACTCACATCTTCAGCTACTAAATTTTTTGTCGTCAAAACTTCAAATATCTACGGCGACCAAATTGTTAGTCGCCAATAGTGTTGTTTTAGCTACTAAATGTTTAGTCGCGGAAAGTTCAATTCTTGTTTAGCTACCACCAATAGCTTTCCAATCACCAGAAAGGAACCTCTGATCTTCTTATCATTTCTCCAAACTACCCAATTTCTTCTCATTTTTTTGAAAGGCCACAATGCATATATTAGAAAAACTGCAGTTATAAAAAATGAATCAATTTTGTTACAAATGAATCAATTTTCGATTGTCCCTCTTAAGTAATTTAGGAAATAAGAGGAAGGTGTCACTTAAAAGGTGTACTAAATAAATGAATAAACAAAAGAACCAACCCTTCAATACAGATTTTCAAGCATTCCTCTGTTACTTCCATCAAAGATAACCTTGGTTATATAAAATATTATGATCCCACTGAAGAGATAGTGTCACATGCCTGTTAATTACTAAAATATTATATTTTTTCCAACTCACAAGAATCCTAGTTTAGCAATCATCTCCAGAAGCACAGAGAATTATCCTTTTATAATATTGTAGAAAAACCATAAGAAAAATAAATATTTGGACACTTCAAACCATTTGGCATTTTGGACTATTGCAACTTCCCATAGTTGTAACAGAGAAATATACCACCTTGGCATTATTATAAATGGTCAAAAATAAACAG